ATAAAAAAGTTGTAGAGAATCAAAAATTAAGCTTATAACCAGATTTTCAGAACGATTCAAAACCTGGTTTTCAAGAAATGCGAAATTTACGAATTTTCACAAAGCTAGCAACAAAACTTGCATTTTAAGCGAAACTACTAAATATATCTTTTTGGAAATTTGGCTATAAGCCTAATTTTTGATTCTCTACAACTTTTCTATTGACACCAAAATGGGTTTCTTTTGAAGAAAGTGCTCAAACTGTGCTGACAGTTGACATCTCCAGTCCTCCATTCTTGAGTCTCACACTTGTCTCACACACAAACCAAAATCCTACTACGAAAGAGGTATCCGCAAATTGCCTGTAAAATGGGCAGAAGTCGTCAATAATAATGGAAATTATTTGGAATGAATGGATGCTTTTATGTTGAATAAATTTTAGTTCAAAGTCCCGCAGTTTTCAAATCCAAGACGACCGTAATCAAATACAGTGAACAGTTGGAAAAGGTGAATGAATCCCTGAAGAAGAATAGGCCCTCCAAGTCAAAGATCGTTCTCCTCCACGACATTTCAATTCACCAACCCAATAGTTAGCTCTAGTTAGAATCCAATGTCTTTGATGTTTGCCTGTTAAAATCTGCGATCTTTTCCATCCAATCAATATCCATTTTCTCAATCTTTCATCGTCACCTACTCGCAGCTCAAATGTGTATCTGGTAGTGGACAGTTGTATGGCAAAAAAAGGGAAAAGAAAGGGGAAGAGCTAGCTCGAAAAGCATCGCTCACAGTCACTCCCTTGACCCCTTTCTTTCTCTTTCTTTTCTCAAAAAGGGGTCATCTGTTGGCCCCTTCATCGATGTGATTCGAATTCGATTCTTTCAAGAATCGACAGAGAGAGATGGATAGGTAACCCGACCACAAACTTTTGGACCCTCTTTCACCCACTCGATTGCACTACTTGACCCGTTCAATCTGTGCTAATCTTGAAACTTTTGGCTGGTTGTTTATGGGCTACTTTTAAGGAGCTGATGATGATGGTCTTGTAATTTTACTTTTACAAAACTTGTTCTAGATTAATCTCAAGCTTTCATATTGTAGTTTTTTTCATTATCTCACAGTTAGGTCGCTTTTTATGATCTTTAAATGAGTCAAGAACTCAAATTGGAGATTTGATTGAGCATTTAACGATTGCAAGACTTTAGCCTTTGGACTTAAGCCAACCAGAGTCACATAAACTCTCAAAACTAATAATAAACGCTCCAAAGAATAAGTACTCCAAGTTCAAATCAAGTCAATACGGTCGATCACTTGCTAATGAATCATTCTTAATGCTGATCGGTTAGGAGTCTTGTCTCTTAAGCGGAAGGTCGAGGGTTCAATGACGCTGGCAAGATAAAAATGTTTCTTTTTCCCACCAAGTGGATTTTTTTTCTTTCACAGCATTTGGGTCATAGGAGTAACGGCCGCAGTGCCATAAAATTGTGACCTTTATGCCTTATTATGAATCCTTTGTTTGTATCACATTATTCAATAAATGTATTTTTTTAATAGTTCATTTCCCCTAGTTTCTATCATCCAGACTCATCTCCAACACTCGAAATCAAAACTTTATTTCGCTATTACTAAAATCGTGCGAAAAGTTAGATCTTTTGATCCACTTGTTCCTTTTCTCTCCCTTTTTGATCTTTTATTGTCAATTTGTTCGGAATGATGGGCCTAGGAGAGTCCAAAAGCCGCATCTCAAATGTTCTCGATTTTATTGAAACATTTCGGCGCCTCATGTGGCCTTTATGCGATTACAACAATGTTTTGAGGAATTGGGAAAGGAAAGAGGCGGAAAGGGAGGGGTGACTGTCCCACTATCCCACTCTTTCTTATCCAGTACTCATAGCTTCTGGCCGCTCTCAACCCTGGCCCGACACCAATCCTAAATCCATCTTTCTCTCTTCAAAGACACCGAGCTCACCACAAGAGACAAATGTTTTACTCTCACAAAATAGATACCCCAGTTGGAGGACAGGACCGTTGGGCTGGGAATACATGGTCGGCGCGGGGATTCGAACCTATGACTTCCTGCTTATCGAGCGAACGCTCACCAAGCCCTACACCTACACATGTCCCAGGGTAGGGCTTTATGCCTTATTACCCTAAAGAGGAGGTCGATTGATGAAGCTTCTGACTATCAGAATAAGAACCTTTGGGTTTTGGATCAAATGAGAGATCAACTGATCAGGATTTTCCTTTGATTAAGCCAAATCAAAAGCGTTGAGTTGTTCAGAACTTGTACTTGCCATGTACTATCGACAATTCCGTAATCTTTTCTTTTTGTGATCGTATTTTCTTTTTTTTCTGATTTAAAGCTTATTCTGATCGATTTTGATTGAAAACTCCGTTCTAGACAGGCTAGGGATTCAAAACCCCATTCTAGACCGGCTAGACATTCAAAGCTCCTTTCTAGACAAGCTAAGCATTCAAAACTTTGTTCTAGACAAGCTAGGTATTCAAAACTTTGTTCTAGACAAGCTAGGTATTCAAAGCTCCGTTCTAGGTAGCCTAGGCATTCAAAGCTCTGTTCTAGGCAGGCTAGGGATTCAAAACTCTGTTCTAGGCAAGCTAGAGATTCAAAACTCTGTTCTAGGCAAGCTAGAGATTCAAAACTCTGTTCTAGGCAAGCTAGGCATTCAAAACTCCGTTCTAAACAAGCTAGGTATTCAAGACTCAGCTCTAGACAAGCTTTGTATCCTACTTCAGCGTCTCAAACCATCAAGTTTTCGACCAGGTTCATTGTTTTGTTTCATTGTTTACCCCATGTTTCTCTAATCCTAGATTTTGACTTTTTGACTCAAATAACTCGAGGTAAAAGCTTCAAAACGATAACTTAAAGCTCTGATTTGTTCTGATTCGTTCTCAGATTTGAAGGTTCTAATTCGCAAACCAGTTCAGTTTGTTTAGAAGACAATCCAGCTGTCTAAATCATCAAGCCTTGGCCATCCTTTTTTATTCTTTTATTCTTCATCTTCCTTTCTTCATTTTTTTACTCCATTAATCAAAGATCATTAATCATTAATCCTAATTTTCTCATTGGCTCAAGTCGCATTACTTATCAGTTTCAAATCCTTTTATTTCCATTTCTCTTCCATTTCTCTTTCCCTATAGGTTATGCTGTAATCCGTACAAAAAGGTGTTTGTTTTCGGAGTCTTCGATCGGATCTCCAGATCGAATTTCTTTTGCTCAAAAATGTTTCCTGACCATCAGCTCATATTTTTCTTGAACAATAGAGCTGAAATTTGCGGAAATTCTTTTCTAAGACTTTTGAAGCATGCAAAATGCTTCATTTATGAGCAGCTTCATTCTTTTCTTGTTTCTGATTGATTGAGATTAATAAGTTCTTAATTTCTCGAGAAATTTAAACCTATGCAAATGAATTTGTCAATAGGACTTGTCAATAAGACTTCTTCAAAGCTGGCACGAAATTCCTGCTGTTTGTTGATTTATTCACCCAAATAAAGCGCCCAAATTGAGCCCATCAAAGGCCATTTCCAGGCCAAAACGATTTTTTTTCTTTTCCAAAAGCATAAGCCGTTTGCGTTTCGAAATAAACTCCCGTCTTTTTTTGTTTTCTTTTCTGAATTGGAAAAACTCCCATCCATCCTCTTGAGAAATGAGAAGAGGAAAAAGGGAAAATTTGGAATGAAATTTGACTCTCTTTTCTCGAAGTTTTTCCTCTCATTTTTCGGATTGCTGAGAAGATTACTATCAGCCGGTTTTCAGAGAGTTGCAGATGGATTTTGTCGATTCGAACCGGAAATATTCGATTGCTTTGGATAAAATTTGTTATCTTTGCTGTCCAAAGACCTTTTACTTGACTCAATCAACTTTCAATCCAAATCGGAACGTTGAGCTCTAGTCATAGCTGTTGGATTCTTGAAACCAAAGCCAAGCCTAAGCCAAGCCTAAGCCAAGCCTAAGCTAAGCCTAAGCCAAGCCTAAGCCAAGCCTAAGCTAAGTCTAAGCTAAGTCTAAGCCAAGCCTAAGCCAAGCCTAAGCCAATCCTAAGCCAAGCCAAAACCAAGTCAAAACCAAGCCAAGGCCATGGTTTTAAGCCAAACTAGACCAATCCAACAGCGAAGTTGAAATTCCAAGCCAAGGCCAATTGAAAGCTACCGACTTTTGCCTTTTTGGAACAACCTTGGTTCATATAACATATAACTTTCTCAAACACTCTTCAATTTTGCATTTGATGTCTCACCATTTGAGGTTGAGTGCATCAATCAGATCATTGAGAACACGACGCTAATAGAACAAATATAGTAGAGTTGGGTTCTTTCATGGGTTTGGGCTGGGAGCACAAAACATTGTCGGCGCCGAGATTCGGACGTGTGATCTCTCGCTTCCCGGGCGCACGCTTCCCGGGCCTGGAGTACGCTTCCCGGGAGTACGCTTCCCTGGAGTACGCTTCCCTGGAGTACGCTTCCCGGGAGTACGCTTCCCTGGAGTACGCTTCCCTGGAGTACGCTTCCCGGGAGTACGCTCTATCAATGAGCTACACCGACACGTATCCCATTACTTCCAGGGTAGGGCATTGCCTTACTGTAGCCTAAGAAACAAATTAGTTAGTTACATTTAAAAGCCTTCAATGATCACCAACCATAAAGATCCAGCTTTACTTCAGCAGTTCACAACCTCAACCTTTTTCCTCTTCCATCACCATTTATGCCTTTCTTTAAAGGCTTTCTCTTTCATTGTTGTCTCTAGCATTAGACCTTCTCCTCATGCTCAAAAAGTTCCATAAACAATTTTTTCAACTTTGCCCTCTTTTTGGGTGTTTGAGGAAGAGACACGGCTTTTTACTTAAAAGAGATCTGCACCTCAAGTTCTCAAGTCCCTGCATAACTCTATCCGAACACATGTTCTCTTTTTTTGATTGTTTCTTTTTTGACTTCCAGTAACTTGAGCTTTAGTTAGTTTGTTGAAATTTGTCTAAAAATTTGTCAAAATTCTAGAAAACACTTGCAAAAAGATGATTCGAAGGTTAATACCACTGTTGTTGCTCGTTCTACCAATTGGTTAGTTTCAAAAATTCGCTTTTCTTCAGCAAAATCTTCAGTAAGATTAAAAAAAGCATATTATGCTTAGAAAAAGATTTATATTTGCAAGTTTCACAAGTTTGTTCAATCTTTAACCGGTTAAAAACCTTTCCAGGCTCATTGTTGCAGCTTTAGAGTAAGTTTTTAAGTTATAGTAAGTTTTTAAGCATAAATTGTAAATAAAAAACGAGAAGAAGCATCAGTTTAACTCTATGGTAGAAGAAGCATAAGCTTATTAGATTCCGAAATGAAATATCTTAATCAAATATCAAATATTTAGCTCTTGCTGAGGATATCGAGGCAAAATGCCGAAGTGCTGAGGGTGCTTCATCATGCGGGCAGTGCATTAAGCAGCATCCAGATTGTGGCTGGTGTCGAGATCCTGTAAGTTGAAAACAATCGAATTTGGCTTTTGATAATGCACTATAAACTTGTTCTTTGGTGTACTTTGTGCTCAAAATGCAAACGCTTCTTTCTAGAGCACTAACTGGTAGCAGACTGATGCAAGGTAGTAAACTGATGCAAGAATTGAGTGCATCAGAAAGAGAGTGTGTTGCTGAGCACAAAGTTGTAACTACTGCCTAGTTATAGTTACTGCCTAGTTGTATCTACTGCCTAGTTGTATCTACTGCCTAGTTGTAGCTACTGCCTAGTTGTAGCTACTGCCTAGTTGTAGCTACTGCTTAGTTGTAGTTACTGCTTAGTTGTAACTACTGCCTAGTTGTAGCTACTGCCTAGTTGTATCTACTGCCTAGTTGTATCTACTGCCTAGTTGTAGCTACTGCCTAGTTGTAACTACTGCCTAGTTGTAACTACTGCCTAGTTGTAGCTACTGCCTAGTTGTAGCTACTGCTTAGTTGTAGCTACTGCCTAGTTGTACAAAGCATGTGATGAATTTCAAACGACGAATGGCTTGCTTATCGATATCCTAGTATGAGATTAGATCCTTGCTTTACCCTACAACGACTTTCGGTCTCAGGTATTCCGTGTCTAACTCTTGCCGTCTTCCCCAAACTTCATTAACGATTCAGCGATAAGCAAGTCTAGTTCTCTAATCATTTTCCTTTTAACCACCTTAGTGAGTCATTTCCTTTTGAGCTGATCACCGATTCAGCGACGAGTCCATGGCTTTTGAGAAGTCAATGGAAATATTTTGGAAAGCTACAGGTTGAAAGCATCCAGAAGCATCCAGCAAAGCCTTTCCAAAGCTTTTTGATAAATTTGTTGCCATTTTGCCAGTTAAGCAAGTTTTAAGTTTTAAGTTTTAAGCAAGAGATTGATTTTGGATGTTTCCTTGAAAGAGTAAGAGATTTGGTGCATTGATAAGCTACTATAGCGCTTCTGCAGGATCTAGTATCTCCAAATCAGTATCATTCAATCTCCAAAACAGTATCTCCAAAGCTACTAAAGCAATTCTAGTATCTTCAAGTTAGATCTAGTATCTCCAAATCAATATCATCCAATCTCCAAAACAGTATCATCCAATTACCTAAACATGTAAGCATTTAATACATTCACGACAAAGCCATTTTTGTCTTGGCTGACAGCTAACTTCAGACGACAGCTTGGGTAGTTAAACCGGATGAAATAGAGCAGCTTTTCTTTAAAAAACTGCTCTATTTCAAGATCTATTTCTGACTACGGATTCAAATTCCTTGATCCCGATTGAAAACGCAAACTGAAAGATATTCAGCTAATGATTCAGCTAATGATTTCATTGGCATCGATTTCATTGGCTGAATATCTTTCAATTTGCTGATATTCATTAGCTGAATATCTTTCAATTTGCCCTAACATTTCTCGTTAGCCTAACATTTCTCGATAATTTCCCATTTCCCGCAAATTCCCGGTATGTCCTCAACAGAGATTAGACTCGTCTGGTACTTGATCGTCTGATATTTGACCACAAATTTACTAAACAGTATCAAATCTTAAGAGTTATGGTACTTTGTGTACCAATCCGCGAATATCTAAGATCTGTTAGTACCAGTTCTTTAGTACCAAAACTCTTGTGGCAACGAATATTACTGAAATTTTGTCTAGTAACTGAAACTAAACGATTCATCGAACAAAATAGCCAAAAAATATCACTTTCACGCACCAAATCTCTTGCTTTTTAAGCTCTCGGTTTTACCAGCATTTCCCCAACTCTCTATTTTGCATGTTTTCCTTTCCTTGGCATGGTCAACATTTTCAATTCCACTTGCTTCAATTCCACTTGCTCCAATTCGACTCTTGCAAGATCTCTGCCCGCTAATCTCAATTTCTCTATCAGTTCGCGAAAAGATTAATCGCTGATCACGTTTGAAAATTGATCAAAAAAAAGAGACAAGAACAAGAAATTTTTCGGACTCATTAGGGGATTAAGGGCACTCATTACACAACAGGAGAAAGCTGATGGAGGAAAGGATCAAAAAAAATGGCTAAAAAATGGCACAATGAAAATGTAAACAGTGATAAATTTTGCTGGGAGAACAATAGTAGTTAGTGGTTGAACGGGGGACATTAGAGAGAATGAGTTAATGCTTGGGACATTAGAGAGAATGAATTAGTGCTTGGGAAGGGTCGAAGAGTTGGAAGGGTTTTGTAAAGTCCCCTTGATGCAAGTAACTCCTGGAGGTGCATCTAGAGATGACTCAGCATAAATCTTTTCAGTAACTTATAGCAAAACCTAAGAAATTGCCTCTTTAACACCCCTTAATAAGCCTAACTCTAGCTGATTTGAAATCGAACTTTGAGTTGATTCAAACAAGATTAGCATGCGAAACAATTGAACAGGGCATTGAACAGGGAATTGAACAGCCAATTGAGCAGGGAATTGAACAGCCAATTGGACAGCCAATTGAGCAGCCAATACAGCCAATTGAACAGCCAATTCAGCCATTTGAACAGCCAATTCAGCCAATTGAACAGGGAATTGAACAGGGAATTGAACAGCCAATTGAACAGCCAATTGAACAGCCAATTGAACAGCCAATCGGACAGCCAATTGAACAGCCAATTGAACAGCCACTTTTCTAGACAAGAGCTGAAGAAAAAGATAACCGGACTAAAACTAACTGAACTGAGCAACAAAAAGCCTTACAGAATACCAAAAACTGTTTACTATCAATCTGTTTACTACCTAATTTTCAATTTTGAGTCTTACAGGCCTTTCAGAGCTATTGCTCAGAGCTACTGCTCAAAGCTACTGCTCAGAGCTACTGCTCAAAGCTACTGCTCAGAGCTACTGCTCAAAGCTACTGCTCAGAGCTACTGCTCAAAGCCATTGCTCAGAGCTCTTAGAATTTAACCTAATTACTTAAAATCTCCAGCTCTTTCTTGATTAGAGTCGAAATTCTTGATTAGAGCTCGCTCCCATTCACCCCAGTCCACAGCCACTTTTTCAAATGTCATAAAATGTGTGTGATGGGTCGAGATCCCAGTCCATTTCTCTTCTCCACTTTTCCACAAGACCACATGTTGCATTTTGGAATTTCAGGTACCCATGGGTAAAGGGATAAAATTAAAAAAAAACTAAAGGTTAAAATTTGTTTGAAAGGGTATTTTGTTTGGTGTAAATTTTGGGTTTCAATTTGTTTAAAGAAACGATTAAAGAATAGTTTCAAAGTTTTCATTTCAGCACAGCAAACTCTCATCAAGATGCCAATTGAAATCGAAATTGACGGCCGATGTCTGCAATCAACAATATGTCTATTCACCAGTTACAGAGATGAAAGTTGATCATCGGGTATGTGAATTTTCTTTCTTTTCTTCTTCCACCTTCTTTCTGCACCGTTACTTCTTTTTTTTCTTCTTCTGCCTTCTTTCTAGATGGTAAAACAAGACCTATAGCCGAGAGATAGAGCCTCTGCCTCTTCAGGCGGAAGGTCGAGGGTTCAAATCTCGTGATCCTTATTTCTTTGTTAAATTTTTATTTTAAAAAAGGAAAAAGATGGGTAAGAAGTAGAAAAGAAGAGAGGGAAAGGAAAGAAGAGGGAAGGGAAAGAAGAGGGAAGGGAAAGAAGAGAGGGAAAGGAAAGAAGAGAGGGAAAGGAAAGAAGAGGGAAGGGAAAGAAGAGGGAAGGGAAAGAAGAGAGGGAAAGGAAAGAAGAGGGAAGGGAAAGAAGAGGGAAAGGAAAGAAGAGGGAAGGGAAAGAAGAGGGAAGGGAAAGAAGAGGGAAGGGAAAGAAGAGAGGGAAAGGAAAGAAGAGAGGGAAAGGAAAGAAGAGGGAAGGGAAAGAAGAGGGAAGGGAAAGAAGAGAGGGAAAGGAAAGAAGAGGGAAGGGAAAGAAGAGGGAAAGGAAAGAAGAGGGAAGGGAAAGAAGAGGGAAGGGAAAGAAGAGGGAAGGGAAAGAAGAGAGGGAAAGGAAAGAAGAGAGGGAAAGGAAAGAAGAGGGAAGGGAAAGAAGAGGGAAGGGAAAGAAGAGAGGGAAAGGAAAGAAGAGGGAAGGGAAAGAAGAGGGAAGGGAAAGAAGAGAGGGAAAGGAAAGAAGAGGGAAGGGAAAGAAGAGGGAAGGGAAAGAAGAGAGGGAAAGGAAAGAAGAGGGAAGGGAAAGAAGAGGGAAAGGAAAGAAGAGGGAAGGGAAAGAAGAGGGAAGGGAAAGAAGAGGGAAGGGAAAGAAGAGAGGGAAAGGAAAGAAGAGAGGGAAAGGGAAAGAAGAGGGAAGGGAAAGAAGAGGGAAGGGAAAGAAGAGAGGGAAAGGAAAGAAGAGGGAAGGGAAAGAAGAGGGAAGGGAAAGAAGAGAGGGAAAGGAAAGAAGAGGGAAGGGAAAGAAGAGGGAAGGGAAAGAAGAGAGGGAAAGGAAAGAAGAGGGAAGGGAAAGAAGAGGGAAGGGAAAGAAGAGAGGGAAAGGAAAGAAGAGGGAAGGGAAAGAAGAGGGAAAGGAAAGAAGAGGGAAGGGAAAGAAGAGGGAAGGGAAAGAAGAGGGAAGGGAAAGAAGAGAGGGAAAGGAAAGAAGAGAGGGAAAGGAAAGAAGAGGGAAGGGAAAGAAGAGGGAAGGGAAAGAAGAGAGGGAAAGGAAAGAAGAGAGGGAAAGGAAAGAAGAGGGAAGGGAAAGAAGAGGGAAGGGAAAGAAGAGAGGGAAAGGAAAGAAGAGGGAAGGGAAAGAAGAGAGGGAAAGGAAAGAAGAGAGGGAAAGGAAAGAAGAGGGAAGGGAAAGAAGAGGGAAGGGAAAGAAGAGGGAAGGGAAAGAAGAGAGGGAAAGGAAAGAAGAGGGAAGGGAAAGAAGAGGGAAGGGAAAGAAGAGAGGGAAAGGAAAGAAGAGAGGGAAAGGAAAGAAGAGGGAAGGGAAAGAAGAGGGAAGGGAAAGAAGAGGGAAGGGAAAGAAGAGGGAAAGGAAAGAAGAGGGAAGGGAAAGAAGAGGGAAAGGAAAGAAGAGGGAAGGGAAAGAAGAGGGAAAGGAAAGAAGAGGGAAGGGAAAGAAGAGAGGGAAAGGAAAGAAGAGGGAAGGGAAAGAAGAGAGGGAAAGGAAAGAAGAGAGGGAAAGGAAAGAAGAGGGAAGGGAAAGAAGAGGGAAGGGAAAGAAGAGGGAAGGGAAAGAAGAGAGGGAAAGGAAAGAAGAGGGAAGGGAAAGAAGAGAGGGAAAGGAAAGAAGAGGGAAGGGAAAGAAGAGGGAAAGGAAAGAAGAGAGGGAAAGGAAAGAAGAGGGAAGGGAAAGAAGAGGGAAAGGAAAGAAGAGGGAAGGGAAAGAAGAGGGAAAGGAAAGAAGAGGGAAGGGAAAGAAGAGAGGGAAAGGAAAGAAGAGAGGGAAAGGAAAGAAGAGGGAAGGGAAAGAAGAGGGAAGGGAAAGAAGAGGGAAGGGAAAGAAGAGAGGGAAAGGAAAGAAGAGGGAAGGGAAAGAAGAGGGAAAGGAAAGAAGAGAGGGAAAGGAAAGAAGAGGGAAGGGAAAGAAGAGGGAAGGGAAAGAAGAGGGAAGGGAAAGAAGAGGGAAAGGAAAGAAGAGGGAAGGGAAAGAAGAGGGAAGGGAAAGAAGAGAGGGAAAGGAAAGAAGAGAGGGAAAGGAAAGAAGAGGGAAGGGAAAGAAGAGGGAAGGGAAAGAAGAGGGAAGGGAAAGAAGAGAGGGAAAGGAAAGAAGAGGGAAGGGAAAGAAGAGAGGGAAAGGAAAGAAGAGGGAAGGGAAAGAAGAGGGAAAGGAAAGAAGAGAGGGAAAGGAAAGAAGAGGGAAGGGAAAGAAGAGGGAAGGGAAAGAAGAGGGAAGGGAAAGAAGAGAGGGAAAGGAAAGAAGAGGGAAGGGAAAGAAGAGGGAAGGGAAAGAAGAGAGGGAAAGGAAAGAAGAGGGAAGGGAAAGAAGAGGGAAGGGAAAGAAGAGAGGGAAAGGAAAGAAGAGAGGGAAAGGAAAGAAGAGGGAAGGGAAAGAAGAGAGGGAAAGGAAAGAAGAGGGAAGGGAAAGAAGAGGGAAGGGAAAGAAGAGAGGGAAAGGAAAGAAGAGGGAAGGGAAAGAAGAGGGAAAGGAAAGAAGAGGGAAGGGAAAGAAGAGAGGGAAAGGAAAGAAGTAGAAAAGGGAAAGGAAAGAAGTAGAAAAGGAAAAGAAGAGAGGAAGAGTGAAAGGAAAGAAGTAGAAAAGGAAGAAGATTTCCTTCATTCATAAGTTCATAATTGAATTATTCATTGCTTTTTGTGGTTAAATAAAACCAGGATAAAGATAAAAATATTTAATTACAAACTATTATACTTGAGAAGGCCGTGAAGATATCTACTATATATAAAAGAACAGTGTTTGTCCGTCCGTCTGTCGTCGTATGAGTTTTGTTTTCTTTGTTGTGTGAATTCAGGACTCATGCTTTAAATGAAGTGTTTGATTTTTTATCTACATCAACACAAGTGCCACGAGTGGCTGAATCTCACTCAAATCCTGGCGTTAAATCTACTATATATAAAAAAGAAGTGTCGGTCTGTCTGTCCGTCCGTGCGTTCTCAGTTCGCAGAGTTCTCGCAGAGTTCGCAGAGTCCCCGTGGGCCAAAATCAAGCCAAACTAAGCAAAGAATTAGTTAGTCTAGTTAGGTTTAGTCTAGATCAGTTTTGTCGACTGTTCCAGGCTAAGGAAACAGTCCTGGCTTTTCCTAGAAACAGTCCAGTCTCAGATCAATCTACTATATATAAAAGAGTAGTGTCTGTTCGTTCGTCTGTCTGTATGCGCTAGTTTTCAGCTCCCTATGAGCTGATTTACATGATTTTTAGTTTCTTAGGCTTAGAATTCTATGCAGTTGTGCATCTAATATTTCATTTATAAAAAGCAAAAGTCACGGCATAGCCGGGAGTCGAACCCGGATCGTTTGGGCGTGGGCAAGTTGAAAAACTCACTACGACAAAGTTGAAAAGATCAAAATAGCGAAAATTTACATACCAAAATAAGCAATCGAGTTATTTTGTCATCTAGTTTACTCTGGTTTAAAGTGAGTACGTTTTTCTTGGCTGGTACTATCAATTTTGGCGGGTACTATCAATTTTTCATGTTTAGTCATTGCCTCTTCAACAAATCGATCCACGAACGAACAGCCCAGTGCAAGTGTCCCCACAGCAAGTCGAAGTGAAAATCAAAGAAGGTTAGTGGAACGTTTAAAATATGATACAAAATGCCGTATTTTCTCTAATAGTAGTGTACCCCGGTGAGCCGAGTTGATGACTATTTTACGATTTCCAAGCTTTTGCAGAAGCTCGACACTCTAATCCCCCACTAGATCTCATCGTCAGCTACATTTTCCGATCCCACATCGATAGGTTCTGATAAGCGGTTCTCGAGATTTCGAGCAATTTAGGCGACGCTCAGGGTGCACTACTATTAGGGAAAATACGGTATGTAACTTATTGCTAACAAGAAAACCACATTATGAATGCCGATTGCCTCCAAAATTAGTGGGTAGATAGAGTCGACTATGGGGAACAACATATCAAAAATTCAACTGCAAAGCTCCAAGATTACGGTAGCTATAGTGTTTTGAATCTTTGGCAAAATATAGACGACAATGGGGTTTCTCTCTCCGCAACGATATGAATACAAAGGGATTCATTGGTGTAGTGGTAGTGCGTTCAGTTACAAAGTGGAGTTTGACTCTTTCTTGGAACTTTTGGAACAATTTTGGACCATTAGCCATTTTGGAATTATATTATTGTTTATTTACTTCATGCATATGTTTATCTAATCTAATCGGCAATCGGCATCCGCTAGTATCTGTGGTTCCCTTGTAAGTAAGCTTGTAAACTTGTTAAGTAAGTTGTCAACTTTTGTTAATTGTTGTTGGAGGTTGTTGGAGCGAATACGAATATTATTTTATAACGAAAACTTAAGATCCTTGAGCTCCATTGATTTTCTTGTAGTTTATCATTTAAGATTCAAATTTATACACTTTCGTCGAACATTTGTGCACCTAGATTGGCTCTTTGGCTTTTACGATCTCATTTGATGGATTGGCTTGTTGAGAGTTGAAAGAGTTCCGATCGGTTATGAGATGCCGCTAGAACAGAAAGAGCTCTAGAAAGAGCACTAACACAAACAGATAACTCAAAGGAAATTTGAAAAAAAATGCAAGAAAATGCAAGAAAATTAGTTAGAAAGCACTCAAAAGAAAGTAATAGAAAGAAAATTCGTTAGAAAGTAGCAGAGAGGATCTTTTAGTAAAACGTATTAGCTGGTGAATTTAGATGAGACGATGAAAGTCGAGTTCAAGTTCTTCCACAAGGACTCTGGACCGGCACAAGTAAGCATTTTTTTCAAAAAAGCTATATTTTGGTAAAATATTTGATTTATCCAGCTTATCCAGCTTATCCAGCTTATCCAGCTGATTTTAGATCAAGGACTTTCAAATCATGACCTCGAACTTCTCGAACACTGGCGTTGATGTGACTTTTATCATCGATTGTCACGGGTTTGTTGATTTATCTTCAGAAATTGAATTGTTTCTTTTATCTTCACTAATTCAATCTGTGTTTTTCTCAAAAGACTATTTTCAGAAAGAAAGTTGAAGGCAAGAAATGCGACAAGGTCCCTGATGGAACGGTGCTTGCGGTGACTGCAGTGGTCAGTGAAATAGTAGTGCGCCGAGCCGAGTTTATGACTATTTTATCGTTTCCAAGTTTTCACAGAAGCTCAACACTCTAATCCCCCACTAGATCTCATCGTCAGCTACATTTTCCGACCCCACATCGATAGCTTCTGATAAGCGCTTTTCGAGATTTCGAGCAATTTAGGTAATGCTCAGGATGATTAGATTAGACGCTCTATTAGAGAAAATATGGTATTCTGTATTTTCTCTAAATGTAGTGCCCTCCTGCTCCCGGCCTCTCCTCCCCCCGGCCGAGCCGAGTTAATGACCATTTTACAGTTCCCAAGCTTTTCCCAGAAGCTCAACACTCAAATCCCCCACTAGATCTCATCTTCAGCTACATTTTCCGACCCCACATCGATAGGTTCTGATAAGCGGTTCTCGAGATTTCGAGACTTTGTGAAATCTTTGAAATTTCTTTTTACCTAGAAAACTCATTTCACAATGATTTTTATTAAATTATGTTGACCAAATCTAGCAAAATCAAAAGAATTCTATTAGGTACATGCATAAGAAATGTGGATTTCAACACTTTCATAAATTTCCAACGATAGAAACCTGATATCGATGAATGTTATAAACTATTTGAAGGTTGTAAATCTCCTCTATAAAATAGGCTAAAACGTGTTTCAATTGATCGAAGCATTGAAGAAATTTCGAGGCCGAAATGCGAGTGACCAAAAAAGGAATCGAGTCACTTTAGGGACAAGTTTAGTGTGGTCAAAATAGAGTTAGCTCCCCAAAAAGCTTCCCAAAACTTTCACAAGGGTTCGGTTTTGACTATATAGTGGAAAATGAGCGCCAAATCATTCAAAATATCATTCAAAGTGATTAAGAGTTAGGATCATTTCATGGGAAAGCTTTGTTTTTACAATAAATTTTTCTTTTTGTGGAAAAGCCGTTTTTTGACAATTTTGAGGGTTTTGAACTTACGCTCTATCTAAATTTCTGTAAATGTAAATGTTCCGTTAGACTTTTTAATGAATTGATATATAGTTATCCCTTCTTCTTAAATCTTCAATTTTGGGAAGTTAACTCTATTTTGACCACACTAAACTTGTCCCTAAAGTGACTCGATTCCTTTTTTTGGTCACCTCCAACTTTGAGCTCAAATTTCTTGGTGTTAGGCTGTTGAATTGAAATATTCTTGGTATCATTAGATGCGTCAAGTCTTTCTCTATTGATTGGTAGAAAAACTATTTTAATTGAACAGCCGAACACTAAGAGTTGGATTGTTAATGGCAAAAGGGGCGGTCAAAAAGTGCCCTTTTTTGGTCACTCGCATTTCGTCCTCGAAATTTCTTCAATGCTTCGATGAATTGAAACACGTTTTAGCCTATTTTGTAGAGGAGATTTACAACTTTCAAATAGTTTATAACATTCATCGATTTCAGGATATCGATGAATGTTTCTATCGTTGGAAATTTATGAAAATGTTGAAATCCGCATTTCTTATGCATGTACCTAATAGTTTTGTTCAGCACTTTAGTACCTTAACGGAAGGTTTATCATCAAAACTATCGAAATTATGCCTTTTTTATTTATTAATCAAATTTCAAACAATAGTTTATCAAAAATATGACAAAAGAAATGCATCTTTTTCTTGATTTTTAAAGGAACTTGTGCAAAAACTAGAATTTGTTTAGTAATTTAGTGATTTTAATGCAAAAATGGGATCTCTCGCAAAAATGTAAACGCTATTCTGTTAGAATAGTGAATAGACACTATTCTGAAGGTTTCAAAATCGACGTAACATATAAATTTTAAAATAATAGGACATTTGTTTGATCAAAATCAACAAAAAGTTTCAGGTGAAATTGACAAAATGCTCGGACCGAGGCTCAATCCCGATCACAGTTGGCGCTTATGGAGCTCGATCGATTGGAGCTCTCTATGTGTCTCCACTTTGCGGTTGTGAATGCGAGAGATTGCATCAAATTGTAAGTTGGATACTCAAAAGATTAGCAAAAGAGAAGACTAGCAAAAGAGAAGATTAGCAATGTCAAATGAAAGATCAAACCCATCGCAATCTATGCACTTTCAGGAGAAAAACTCGCCTCTTTGCTATCAACACGGAAATCTCATCTGTGGCCAATGCGAGTGTCAACCTGGACGAGGAGGACACAATTGTGATGTTAGTAAAAGAATAATTGAATGAACTAGATGAAATCCACTAGATGAAATCAACTGATTAATCAACTGATTAAGTTAAAGAAGACAAGTTTATAAGATTTCTTGATTTTAGTGTCCATTATCTCTCTACGGAGTCTCAACTGATGCCGAGTTGACAAACAAGTGTCGGGAGTAAGTGGAAATTCTGTTTTTGATTCTGTTTCTGATCCAGTTTCTGATCCAGTTTCTGATCCAGTTTCTGATTCTGTTTCTGATTCTGTTTCTGATCCAGTTTCTGATTCTGTTTCTGTTAAATTAGATTACTCACAAGGATTTCATAATTATAACAATGCAAAATCTAATAAATCAGCATTTTAGAAAACCTGGAGCCCCAGTTTGCGGAGGACACGGCCAATGCAAATGTGGTCAATGCGCTTGTGATAATCCAGCGGCAAGTTTCAAAATCTGCTCTTGTTTTCAAGCTTTCAAGCTTTCAAAACCTTCTTCTCAGTTTCATAAATTGAAGTGATTTTGTTTCATAAATTGAAGTGACAATTCTTTCTTTGTATTCTTTGTAGATCTCAAAAATGATTTTGTTTAGACAACCGGCAAATTCTGTTCTTGTGATAACACGGATTGTCCCCGAGGTGGACCCAACAATCAGGTGAGCTTGAGCAACCAAAAACTAGAATTGAGCTGAAAGCTGACAACTGACAATTGCTTTTTCTGGTCTCTTGCTTTGTAGTGCTTTGTAGTGCTTTGTAGTGGCACTGCTTGAAAAAACAGCTTAGCTTCAAACTAGATAGTTTGAAAGCTGCTGTAAAACCTGGTAAACTCTGTAAACTCTGTAAAAATCGAACCCGGCAAACTTGATTCGCCACAAACGGTAAACTTCGGTAAACTTTCAACTTGCTGTAAGTTATTAGGTTGGTCAATAAGTCTTTAGACCCTAAAAAAGGTATTTAGAAGTAACCAATTTACCTATTGATCTACGGTTTGCTTTATTAGAAAGATCTGATATTTTTCTATAAAAGATCATTGAAATTTTAAGAGTTTCTGAACTTTTGTTGGTCAAAAAGTCACGAACGGTGGTCAAAAAGAGTCTAATCAAAAAGAGCGACGACTCGATTACGCGATTTAGACACTTTCATCCAAAGAAACCGATTCTGGTGTCAATAGAAAAAAGAAAGAGCGCAAAAAGTTAGTCTTATAGCCAAATTCTCAGAACAATTTGTTTAACCAATTCCTTTATATCATCATTTAATTTTACGTAAGTTTTTTGCGTTTTGAGTTTGAGTTTTTTGCGCAAATTTTCTTGGAAACAGATCTAGATTAGCGTAAAAAGATCGAAAAATGTACAATAAACATTTTCTATTTAAAGCAAACCGTAGGTCAACCGGTGAACTTTTCATTTATAAACAGATTTATAAAAAAAGTGTCTAAAGACTGATCGGCCAATATAAGAGTTAACTGATCAAGCTCTTAGATTTTGGTATTGAGTTTTTTGCGTTTCATGACACAAAACTGACCTTTTGTCGTGTTAGACATGCTTCGGTCATGGTGTTTGCGAGTGTGGAAAGTGTGAATGCGAAGACGGATGGACGAGAGGCGATTGCTCGTGCACCACACAGATGATCACATGCATGGAGGGCACTGTGAGAAATGAGAGAACCTATTCAATGAATTTCAGCGCCTTGTTTGAGGATCAGCGGCTATGTGATCAAGAATCCGAATAGGGTTTAAAGAGTAGAGAAATTTAGTTGTTGATAGCTAGTTGCTAGCTAGTTGATAGCTAGCTGATAGCTAGTTGATAGCTAGCTGATAGCTAGTTGATAGTTAGTTGATAGCTAGTTGATAGCTAGCTAGTAGAGTCTCCTTGCACAAGAATGTCGATATTTTATGTAACCAAATGATTCTAGACGGCTACTTTCTGCTTTACATAAAAACATCTTTCTTGGCGCAACCAAGTTTCCATTTTCTAGCAGTATTGAATCGCTGAAAGTAGATGCCGAAAAGAATCTAGTGCCAGAAAAGACATGTTTGCAGTTTGCACAAACCTATAGAACACACCTAATAGATTGATAGAATATTTGTTAATTTGATATCATAGAACTTTCAAGACTCAAAGATCACTCCAACAATTTAGCTGGTTTGCTCTGGACACGGGAAATGTGAGTGCGGTCGCTGTGTGTGCAATGAGGGATTCACTGGGGCCACCTGCAATGCTGAGGTTTGTAGTAGACTTGTAAACATTTGTCGGTCCTTTTGCCATTTGCCTTCAATTTAAGGTTTTTCGGGTTTTTCTCAATAGCAACCCTTCGATTTTAACTATTTTGACAAGCATTCGATACAGAATCAAATTGCGCGTCGAATGATACCAAAATCAACTCAAAATATAATATCCATGCAAAGTTATGAAGCAAAAGATTAAGTCCCTTCCATAATGGGCGCGGTTTAGGCTTTTGCCTCATAACTTGGCATTGATATTAGACTTTAAGTCAATTTTGATATCATTCGACGCGCAATTTTATTCTGCATCGAATGATGGTCAAAATAGACAAAATCAAATGGTTGGTGCCGATAAAAACACGAAAAACCTTTAATTATCAACGGCAAAAAAGGACCAATAGATATTTTCCTTACAAGTCTAGTTTGTAGAATTCAATACATGAATCAAAAGCTAATAAAAATCAATTTAACTAGTATTAAGCAAGTGAAATCAGTCTAGATTAGAGTATTCAGTCTAGACCGTCTGGATTACGGTATTCAATCTAGAATAGGATGTTCAATCTAGAATAGCTAGATTACGGTATTTAGTCTAGTATAGGGTATTCAGTCTAGATTAGAGTATTCAGTCTTGGCTGTCTGGATTACGGTACTCAACCTAGACTAGGATATTCAGTCTAGAATCGCTAGAGTAAATCCATAAAATGATTCATTTTGCTTCAGGAACCCCAAGACGAAACCTCTTCACCACAAGACGACAAGGTGCGTTTGATATCGAAGCCAAAGCTTTTAGCTAAAAGCTAAAAAGCTAAAAAAGCTTTAGCTAAAAAAGAGTGAACTTGCAAAGTCTACATTTTTTCGTTTTTGAGTGAACATTTTGTTTACCAGAATTTTGTTTACCAGGATTTTGTTTACCAAGATTTTGTTGGTAACTCTTTTTTTCGAGTTTCAGCCTCTCACCCCAACAACTGCTGCACCAAAATCAAAGGAAACATCGGAAATTGAAGAGAACGATGACGCCTTCACTCAGCCTCCGGTATTTAAGTTCAATTTTGTTTCAATAACTCAATAATTTTCTTTTGAAGTGCTTTAGGTTTTTCAGTTTCACGATTGAAGTGGAAATTTAGCATTGGATTTAGACGTAGATTAGTCTCTTCGGTGCTTTTCAATTGTACTCTTGTAAACAAGTTAAAATACATTACAGATTGTACCACATTATTTAGACGAATAATGTGGTACAAAGAATGCACAAGTACAAACCCTAAGCTCAAAATGTAGGGAAAAAAGAATCAATATTCTAGCTGGCGGGATTGAACCATTGACCTCCCGACTAAGATCCAGAGCTCTTAGCCAGTCGGCCATGGCGGCCAAAGCCCTCGTTCTCTGGGAAACGGCTATATCCTTTTGATCAATTATCGCTTCAACGACCCCGCTCTGCATTGTTAATATAAAAAGACATCTAAGAAGAAAAAGGGGCGGGGCTAAGGGGTATATAAGAAGACATATAAGAGGAAAAAGTGGCGGGGCTAAGGGGTATATAAGAAGACATATAAGCAGAAAAAGGGCGGAGTTAAGGAGTACATAAGAAGACATATAAGATGAAAAAGGGGCGGAGTTAAGAGGTATATAAGAAGACAAAGAAAGAAAGAAAACTTCTAATATAGTAAATCATAGAATAAAATGAAAAATGGACAAACGGCAAACGGACCGAAAAGGGAGCGGAGTTAAGTCCCTCTAGAGTAAGGGAGATCAAGTGCATTGTGGTCTAATGGTTATCACAGTCGGCCGGCAAGCGAAAAGTCGCGGGTTCGAGTCCCGACGGTGCACGATTTTTTGATCTGTCCTAGTTTCAACTGTGCAGCGTTGTCAAAACGCACTTGCCTTACTTACATTCTCAACAGGTTCATAAATCGTTCTACCCATTCTGTCTCCCATTCGAATCTGACTTTTGTGCTATCAACGTTGATCTTAAAGCTAGAATCTAAACAATATCTTCTTTTTAAACAATCCACACACAGGCAAACACAGGTTTTTAAATTCCAGAATCTTATTTTAAGTATACACTACTGGACAATGAAATATCATGTTTGAAAAACGATCGTCACTTTCGCACGTCTGTAACTCCCTTGTCTTTACCGTATTTCTAAATATTAATATTGCCATTGTGTAGCCCTTGAAAAGAGCTTTCAGAAAATGTATAACACTAAAAGTTTAAACTCAAAGACAAGGGGGTTACAGACGCGCGAAAGTGACGATCGTTTTTCAAATATCATATTGCATTGTCCAGTACTGCATGTATGCAAATTGTATGGTATTGTATGCAAATTGCATTGTATTATATGCAAATTGCATTGTATTATAGGCAAATTGCATTGTATTGTATGCAAACTTTTGAATTTCAGCCAATGCAACCCGAGCAAGATATCGATTCGACCGAGCAACCCGAGGAGAGCTCCGATCCCCAATCAGCCCATCTTCTCACCACTTTCATCGCTCTCCTTCTCCCAATTCTTCGATATTTGTAATTTTGAAACTCAATTTTTGTATATTAGACTTATTACTTGGGTATTTATAATGATTTTTGAGCCGTTTAACCCTCGTGAAAACTGCCATTTTCAACCAAAAAACCGAAGCCAAACCAAACTCTCTTTGCTCGTGCCTTGCCAGTATTTTTCACATTGTTTTTCAAATATTATTTCTCCAAAAACTTAACAATATTCATCCCAAATCCAGCTAAAATCGGTGATCATCCCATATCCATTTTTTGGCTTTAATGGAATTAATTAATCAATTAATTAATGAAATTAATTAAACAATTTCTTTTTTAAGGTTTTACTCAAAGTTCAAGTAGAATTATGTCTTTTATCGTACAATTTTCGCTTTCAATTTGTTTATCTACAGCTCATAAATGAATGTTTTATCATTTAAAATTGGGAAAACGACTGAAAAATGTCACACAGACAAAGTAAATCTTCCAACTTTTGCTGTTCACAAAAAAAAGTTTAAAAGTTTTCATTTCCTACTCAACTTTTTGAACGAGTTTGGTGGAACGGGTTAAAATAATCGAAATCTTCTCGAAGAGTTTTGAGAGAGAAACATGCGTCATTGAAAAAAAGATCTATTTTCTTTCGATTTAGATCTGAAATTGATGAGTCAACCGGGCGTTTCCTTGTTTTTTGATCGGAAAGATTCGAGAAGAAGTAGACAGAGTAGACGAATTCTTTCGTTGTGCTGACGTAGATTGAATTCACGACTTTGACAGAGGCAATTCGAGTTGGATGAAAAATGAAAACAATCTTAGTAAACCAATTTTTTCGATATACGTAGGTCTTTTCCGGGTATTCATTAACAAAATTTGCATTTAACTGACGGGAAAAGATTCGCAAGTGCCATTTTTGACGGGAAAATGATTCGCAAGTGCCATTTTTGACGGGAAAATGATTCGCAAGTGCCATTTTTGACGGGAAAATGATTAGCAAGCGCCATTTTTTCCATCAAGTATCCATTTCCATCAAGTATCCCAGGTCACATTTTTGAGGCTTCAATCTTTTTATATGATTTGAAATGACTTTTGAAAGATACTAAATGAAATCAAAAAAGTTTATGAGCGAATAACTGAAGTCAAGATTACGGTAAATTGCAAAAACTGACATTTCTTTGAAAACGCGTTACTCACAAGGGAAGATAAACTGGCTGAGCCGGCCAAATGCTATGCGACCTATACCATTCGACGCAGAATTTTATGCTGATTCCGAATATATTATCGGTTTCTGCTAAACGGCAATCTGTTAGGAGTTATAAGCGTCTAAAGTTTTGTGGTCATTTGGGTCTGAAAATGTGGTCATTTGGGTCATTTGGGTCTTAGCAACCTCCTTGCGGTCCCGTTCCAGTGCAGCCGTGGCCGGATGGTACAGCGCTCGTTTCCAGAGCGAGACCCACAAGTTCGATCCCCATTTGGGTTTTAGCGGCCGCCTTGGGCTCGATTCGGTGCAACCGTGCAAGCTTTCGTTTCCAAATTGAGACCTCACAAGTTCGATCCCCACGCTGCACTTCTTGAAAAAAAGCATGAGCAAAATTCAAGGTGGGGATCGAACTTGTGGGTCTCGCTCTGGAAACGAGCGCTGTACCATCCGGCCACGGCTGCACTGGAACGGGACCGCAAGGAGGTTGCTAAGACCCAAATGACCCAAATGACCACATTTTCGGACCCAAATGACCCAAATGATCACAAAACTTTAGACGCTTATAACTCCTAACAGATTGTCATTTAGCAAAAACGGAATACATGGTCGGAATCAGCATGAAATTCTGCGTCGAATGGTATAGATCGCATAGCATTTGGCCGGCTCAGCCAGTTTATCTTCCCTTGTGAGTAACGCGTTTTCAAAGAAATGTCAGTTTTTGCAATTTACCGTAATCTTGACTTCAGTTATTCGCTCATAAACTTTTTTGATTTCTTTTAGCACCTTTCAAAAGGATAAAGATTTCATTTTAAATCAGATAAAAAGATTGAAGCCTCATAGCATTTGACCGGACGGCTGACCTTCCCTTTTCAGTTAATTAAAACTAAAATGTCAGTTAACCCCAAGCTTCATCTAGATCCAAACTTTAGAAAACCAAAGCTGTTTGCTAAAAGATGGTGACTTGCCTTGACTGTTCAATGTTTTTCTATTGTAAGCTTATCCCAAATTTGCCACTTCCTTGAACTTTTCAGTTAAAACCAGTCAAAACTTTTACTATTCAATAGCAAAAACGGCATTTTACATCTACTGCTTGTTTGTTTTCTTTCCAAAAATCCAGTCACTTATTTGCTCTACTTGAAAATTCCTTGAACTAAACAAGGAAAAGAGTGAATGGTCATTCCAAAAAAAGTAAATCCAAAAGGAGAAATCCAAAAGGACAAATCCTTTTTTGAGAAGGAAGGGGCGGATTTTGCGATTTGTGAACACAGGGAAATCTCCGATGCCGTTTTTATGCTAACTTTTCCATGTCATTCGCTCGCCACAAAATATTACCCTTGAAAGTTTTGCCAGAGATTTCGAAAAGTTTAGATCGAAAATTTCTGGTTGATTTGATTTTCTTTATACAGTCGAACCTCTCTATAACGTAACTCACGGGACGGCTATAGCTTACGTTATATAGAGGTTTACGTTATATAGAGTGCCGTTTTATATGGCTTAACGTCGGCCGGGACCGGTCACGCCTTACGTTATAGAGAGGTTTACGTTATATCGAGGTTCGTTATAGAGAGGTTCGACTGTACTTTCGATCCACGGCTTTTGCTCATTTTGTTTGTAAATTGGTTTGTTTGTTTTTAAACTTGTTTGTTTGTTTGACTTATTCTTATAATACTGATAATAATGACTTATTAGCTTTTGTGGGGCTTAAAATTAGTATAATTTTAGCCTCGATAATAAACCTTACGTCTTTCCACATTAGCTAAGTAGATAAATTCTAAAATGCGTCCCAAAGCGAAGTTATTCAGTCTATTCGGTACCTTTTAGCAATGAACGTATAAAATGATTCGTTTTCTGTCATTATTCGGGGTGGGACAAATGCTACCTTTTTTGCGCACCTGGACATTTGCGCCTTTTTTTGCTGGAAAAGGCCTTAGGCAAGGCCGTAGAGCTTCGAAAATATTTCCATCTAAGGGAATCGTATGCGTAGATTCCGAATTTCGACAAATCAGACCTCGCTGACACGTCAAATTTGGGCTAAAAGGCAAAAACTGCGGAAAAGCGTTAAGTTGCGTAGTTTTTGCCTTTTAGCCCAAATTTGACGTGTCAGCGAGGTCTAATTTGTCGAAATTCGGAATCTACGCATACGATTCCCTTCTATGAAAACATTTTTCAAGCTCTACGACCTTTCCCAAGGCCTTTTCCAGCAAAAAAAAGGTGCGCAATTGTCCAGGTGCGCAAAAAAAAGGTCGCATTTGTCCCACCCCCGCTTTTGTGCTTATAAATTTGAACACAAAACAAAGCCTGACTAAACTTTTAATTTTAAAAAGTATATTATGTGACTTTGGATATTTTAAGGCTTTAAAATATAGTGCTAAACACACCTTATAGAGCTATTGGTTTGTGTTCTTGTTATGTTCTTGTTATGTTCTTGTTATGTTTTTGTTATGTTCTTGTTATGTTCTTGTTATATTCTTTTTCTGACAGCAAAATCAGCTTATTTCTGTTGTTGTTATCAGTTTTTGTGTAGTACTTTCACTTTATAACACTTGTGCAAAAGCTTTTCTCTAATTTGGCTTCAAAAAAAACTTATTTAGATAATTCATTTGAACGATGCGGGAACCGCGAATACTTCTCTTCCTATTACCTGTCATTCTTGGTATGAAACATTTCCTTTTCAAATTTAAACAAGTGCTTTAGCTGCCTCACCGGGTGTTGAAGAGCTGGAGGTGAAACCGACTGTGAGAGTGGTTCAACAGTGAGTTGCACTATGATTAGTTAAAGTTTTTTGATTCAAGGTCTCCACGACAAGTTGATTTGTCTCAATGGGATTGGGTGCCTGTTCAAGGTTTCAACTTTGGCACTGAGGATCCGTTGGGATTTCAACCAATGAAAAGCTCAAACAATCGAATAACGAGATGTAGGTTGTTAAACCAGTTAGGATCTTTAGATTGTTAAATCAGTTAGGATCTTTAGATTGTTAAACCAGTTAGGATCTTTAGATTGTTAAACCAGTTAGGATCTTTAGATTGTTAAACCAGTTAGGATCTTTAGATTGTTAGGCCAGTTAGGATCTTTAGATTGTTAAACCAGTTAGGATCTTTAGATTTTTAAACCAGCTAGGATCTTTAGATTGTTAGGCCAGTTAGAATCTTTAGATTTTTAGGCCAGTTAGGATCTTTAGATTTTTAAACCAGTTAGGATCTTTAGTTTGTTAAACCAGTTTGAATCCAGTTAGAATTATGCATTTTTTGAATCCAAAATCAATACACGCATTGTTTCCCAGCCACTGGAGCTAGATTTTGAAGCAGTAATCTCCAAGATCCAGAGAAGAACTTAATCTACTCAAATTTAGACGTAAATGAGTCATAATTGACAATTTTCAGTCTTCCCTGCTAACGGAGATGGCGGAATTCAAACTCGACAAGCCACTTTTTCATCGTCACCCGGTGATACCTTCAACTCTCGTCCATTAGCCATGGTTCAAGCCTTCAACAACCGTGGAGGCCCAATCTTTCAAGCTAATTCGAATTTTGATTTCAATCCAACAGAAGGAAGATCTTCATCGGTTTTCCAATCAGAAAGACCACTGCCATTGAGTGGATCATTCAATACTGCGAAGACTACATCGTTTGATCATGATGAGAATGATCCGAATCCTCCACAAGTCCATACTTCGATGACTTCTGGCTTTAGCCCAAATGTGCCCGGCTTCCAGCCACAGCAATCGCAAGTTGGCTTCAATCAACAGCCTCAAGATCAAGGACAAGCTCAAGGACAAGAGGAATCACAAGAAGAGTCTCCAGAAGAATCGCAAGAACAAGAACAACCACAAGATCAGCAACAAGATCAGCAACAAGATCAGCAACAAGATCAAGGCCAACAATTCAGGCAATTCTCTTCACCGCCCAGTGGAGCTCAAACAAGACCCGCGACTTTTGTTGATGATGACACTACTGATGGAGGCGATGATCAGAATTCGAAAGCTGAAGAGGAGAGTTCACCAAATGTTCAACCGTCAGCAGATGGGCCTGAAGGGAAAGTATCGGAGAGTTCACACACCGGGACACCTACGGAAGATCATCATCTTTTAGCTGGACCGGTGATGTCTGATCAATTTGGGTCTTTCTCGAGAAGTCCGACTTCTAGTAAGTTCCTGAATAGCTAAAGTTCAAGACAGCTTTTATTACTAGGACACTTATACAAGGACTGTTCAATTTAAGAGCTGAGCATTAGGTTTTAAAAATTATCTATTCCTAAAGGTATTACCTGACTAAAATCGTTTCGAAGTTTCAAATTTTCGAAAATCGTTTGCTACCGACTTTCAAAATTGGATATAACCTATTTTTTAGCAAATTTTTCGTTGATTCTGAATATCTAGACCGTTTTTGTGTAATGAGTTTAAATTTTCGACTTAAATCCGTTTGAAGTTTGAGTGTAAAAAAGCAGTTTTTGGCGTGTTGCACTATTTATCTGATCGCCCAAGTATCAAGCGATCTTGAGTCCTTCGAAGATAGATCGCCGTGGCTGAGTGGTGAGTGCGCTAGACTCCAAGGCGCTAGACACTAGCTAAGCCCGCTAAGCTCCTGTTTTGAGTCCGGGCTTAGGTAAGGCTCTAGCTTTTTGTAAAGAAATTCGGGCATAAATAGGAAAGCTTGCAAACATAGTTAGAGTCATGTAAAGCTTGCAAACATACTTATATTCATGTAAACACTAATTTATGCAGGCTTTTGCAGAGCTTTTACCTGGCTCAAACCGGGCTCGGCTCGGCCAAAATTTGAGAACCTAGCGTGCTTACCACTTGGCCACAATGACTTCAAAGTCGATGGTAAATAAACAACGATATCTAGTGAGGGTAAATAAACAACGATATCTAAATTACTAATTCAAGGAGCAAATTCAGGCTCATTGAATAGAGAAAGTTGATTCGTTTGATTCTAGAGACAAATACTTGTCTTGTCTAAAATACTTTAAATGCAAATCAATAACCAATCTATTCTTTCGTCTATTTCTGATTCCAGTTGCTGCTTCAACCTTTGACACAAAAGGAATGGACACCGTTCATCGATTGAGCACCGCTGTTCACGAGGCTCCTGGTGACGATTTGACGAAGTTGACACAATCGAGTAGACAGTGAGTTTTTGAGAAATATTGTTTAAATATCAATTGATTGATTCATTGATTGATTGATTAATCAATCAATCAATCAATCAATCAATAAATCAATCAATCAATAAATCAATTTAATATTCAGTCAAACTGAGGACCAGCAAACGTCAAGCTCTTTCATCGATGACACCCCGCAATATCACAAAAAGTTTGAGAGCTCCGGATCGCACTCCGCCTGGCACACTCATCGCAGTCGACATAAATCGGTTTGCAAGGGGAAATTTATTAAATTTTTACAAATTTTGATTACCGTATTCTCTCTAATAGTAGTGCACTCTTTAATAGTATTGCGGTCCGAGATGGGGTTAAAAAAATAGTAGTGCACCCTCGAAAATTTGAATTTCTGATGCTTCTTTTTCATCTAAACCTTTTTAACTTTATGTTTATGTGACATTCTAAAGCTATTCAAGCAAGCAAATGTGAGGATTTTTTTTACTCATTCATTAACTATTCTTCACATGAAAATGTTAGCAAAAAATCTAAAATTGTTGTGCAAAGTGCAAAAACATCTTTTTGTTGTTTGTCAAGACACAAATTGTCAACTCGCCGGCCCACAACTGTATGTCAAAAGGAGCCAAAGGAGTACGTGAAAGAATTGCAAGAATTTTTGGAACAAAGATCTGTCTTACTTTGGTAAATGATAAAACTCTTTAATAGTAGTGCACTCTCTAATAGTATTGCTGTTTGAGAGGCGGTTGAAAAAATAGTAGTGCGCACTACTATTAGAGAGAATACGGTATTTGATTACAAATTTTGATTATTTTGAAACTTGTTTATTTGTCTTGCTACTAACTTCAGTAACTAATCTAGTCGTGAAATTTCGCGAAATTTCTGTGATCACCAAAGTGGAACGGGTTACTAGGGTTCACGAGAGTGAGACGCTCTTTTTTTCGCCTCAATTTGTCATGTTGTGAGCTTATTGATTGATCATTGCAGACACAACCCACTGATGATCAACGAGTTTTCCGGGTTGGTGAGGGGAGAGGGAAAACGACGACATTTGGAAGGACATCGGCCACGACTTTCTTGGGAACTGACACACCGACAACTGAAGGAAAGAGAATGGGAAATACTAATGGTAATTTGGGCGAAAAAACAGTTGATAATTTGAGTGATTTGAAAAGAGATTTAGAAGAGAATTTAGAAAGAATTTAGAAGCAATCACGGTCTTATTAGGTGCAAAAAAGGTACTGTTCTCGGAACACTGTAAGACTTAACTCACGGCAAGGCTTAGAACTTTACCAGATACAAGACCAAGAGCTATTGGGTTAGGTTAGAAGGGTTAGAAGATAAGTTCTGTTTATTTTTTGGGTGAGATTCTTAAACTCAACCAATCTACACGTGTTATGGCTCATTTCAAAGCTGAATTCAAAGCTGAATTCAAGGCTGAATTAAAAGATGAATTCAAAGCTGAATTCAAACCTGAATTCAAACCTGAATTCAAAGCTGAATTCAAACCTGAATTCAAAGCTGAATTCAAGGCCAAAGAAAGGGGAAAACCGTTTTTGAATTCATAAAATCTTGAAGTTTTTGCAGGCGCTTTAGTGAGGTCAGTGCCGAATGGAACGATCTTTCATCTTTCAATAAAAGATCGTTCCATTTACTGACTACTATAAGGCTGTTTTCTAAGCTTTTTGAGTACCAATGAAAGTTCAGAGTTCTCAACCAGCTTTATGGACTTCGACCCAACTCATTTCCGTACATCTCGAAGCATTTCGATGAAAGATGCCAGTAAGTTAATTCTTATAGATTTCATCACTGAAAAACTTATAAAATCTAAATTTTAGTGGAACAGATGTCAAAAAGCAAACAGGAGAACAAATCGCCGCTTCCCTTCGTTCCTGATCTGGACACATTAAGAGCTTTGTGGACCCCAAGTGTTGGTGAGTTGGGATTGGCAAGATAATTGGCAAGATAACCTTCTTAGTTCTTAAATTTGAAAAGCAGAAAGGAAAATCTATAGTTTTTTTACTACCAAGTACTTTAGTTTCAAATTCAGACAGCCAACTCGAGCAGATCTTTCAATTGAACCCTCATCTCACTACAATGATGCCGTTGATTCCCGAGAAGCCGGTGAACACTGATGGTGAATTTACTTGAAGATTTTTCTTACAGAAGACTTGAAGACAATTCAAAATCTTACTGGCTTTTAATATGTAATCCATTTGCAGCTTGCCGAGACATTCTCTTCATCATTGACGCAAGTGGATCAAATCAAAAAGCTTTCAAGAAAAACCTTGAATTGGTCAAACAGTTGGCTACCTCAGCATTTTTGCCTTTTCAAAAATTGGTTAGTTATCGATTTTTTGAAGAAAAAAAGTTGATTTATACCCAAATTCAAAGCTTTTTCAGGCAGCTTTGATCGTTTATGGACGAAGAGAGAGAACAAGAGCTGTGGTTGAGTTCGACGATCGCCTCGATAATCTCGCTTTCATGAGAAGAGTCAATGGTGAGTCAATTCATTTTAAATTAGGTTTTTTTCGCTAAGTGTACCGCGACTCTCAACTTTGTAAGGTTATATAAAGATTCAAGAAGCACAAATTAGTTAGAGAACGAGCTTGGCTACAGGAGACATACTCAAAAATCATCTCCAAAAGTTTCATACGGATTCATTGAGTTCTCGCTGAGCTAGATCCTTAGAAGTGAGTCGCTATAATTTGGTGACCATCTCGTAAATCTAACATTCGCTAGGCTTACTGGATTACTCTATTTGTCAGTTTCAAAAATTCAGAACTGAAAAAGTTCAAAAAGCACTTTATTTATCAAGTTTAGGTCTGAAATTCCTTGGCGGAATCGGTGAAGCTGGAATGGCAATGGATTTGGCCGAACAACTTATCGCGAATCGAGTCCGCCGAACGCCCGTCGATATCATTTTTGTGTCTGATGGGTACAGGTTGGTTTCAAAGAAATTCAGAGATCTTTCTGACCAAATTTTAAATGCAAAACAAAAAGAACGTAAGGCTCAAATGGAAATGGTTTTCAGTGGTGATCAATATGTGAACAAAGCTCGATCAATTCTGATTTCAAATGACTTGAATCGCCTCTTCGTTCTTGCGCCGAACCTTGCTCATTTGGCCAAGTGAGTCAGAAAATTGTCAAAAGCTGAAGCTGAAGCAAAAGCTTTGTGAGCAAAAATGAAAACACACTCTTTCTGGTACACTTCAAATCTATTAGGTTGATGCAAAAGTCTTTTTCATTTTTTTCGTACTTCTTTTGAAAAATAACAAAGTCATCAATTGACCTATGGTTTGCTCTAAATGAAAAGTGTTTATTGTTGAATTTCCCATCTTTTTAAGTCAATTTGGGTTCACTTTCAAGCAAATTCGAGAGTGAAAACGGGTTTTTCATAAAAATCTATAAAAACCTCTATAAAGAAATTGGCTGAATGAATTTCTCTGAAAATCTGAAAAAATATCTAACTTTTTGTGCTCTATCTTTTATTTATTAACATCAAGATTGGTTTCCTTAGCTAAAGCGTCTAAAATGCATCATCGAGCCGTCGCCTTTTTTGACTACCCGACTTCAGGCTCTCAAAAAATCTAGACATAAGACATTTTAAACTCGCTTTAATGTCATTTTGCAGAAAAATAATTGGCCTTTCGAATGCAATAAACCGTTGTTCAATTGGTACATTTGTTACTTTTTAACGGAAGTACGAAAAAAATGAAAAAGACTTTTGCATCAACCTAATAATTGTTACAGGTAAATTGTTGGAAGAAGATGTAGAAGCTGTAGAAATATCTCTACCAATCTAAATCTGTCAAATTGAAAATTTTAATGGCCAGATTGAGTGCGTTTTCAAATCAAGAGAAAAATACTTTCCAAAACCAATCTATTTTCAAATTTCAGCGAGCTTAATCAAATCGCCTATGGAGAAAACATAATCACGAGAAAAGAGGACCTCTTGAAATTGAGAGATCAATTGGTTTGCTAAAGAAGAGAAACCCTAAAAAGAAACGAGTCAAAAACTGCGAGTAGCTTGTGCCAAATTTGTGTACATAATTTATAACGGTTAATAAAATAAATCAAAATTTATTTTCTTTATCTTTTGAAGAGTTGTCTTCTGATTTTGATCGCCCAGTACTCTCCATCGTTTTCGAGGCTTTTTGTGTGGTTGAGACTTGTTGAATTCGATCGTAGGTATCTGAAAATGGAAATAATCATGAAAAATCAATGATATTGTAAACTAAATAAATGTATTATGTTGTAAACTAAATAAATGAACTTTTTGGAAAAAGTGAACTTTAAAAATGATGTCTGAATAAATGAATTTTAGCTTCTATCATTTGAATTATATCATTTGAAAGAGACCGTATTTTCTCTAATACAGTGCGGTGCAAAGCCATACGCCACCCCCTAAATATCAATTTCAAGCGCTCAAAGGTGCCATTATCCGCGAGTGGAATGCCATTCCAAGAAGCACCATCAAGAAGCTAGTTAACAGCATGCTGAGTCGAATATTTGACGTGATCAGTCTTCAGGGACAGACAACAAAATATTAAACTGTTATTGTTATAAATAAACCTTGTTATCATAAAAATTGAACAAAAAATGCAACAACGACACCAAAATTTGGGGCGGTGGCGTACAGGGTGCGTCATAATTATTGCAACAAGATACTCAAGGCATTGCACACCAAGAAGTTTCACTGGAAGAAGATTTTTAAACAGAAATAGCTTTATTTAACAGTAACAAATAAGGAAACAAGAGATCATTCGATATGACCACCTTTTTGCCTTGATAACAGCCCTTAATCGGTTCGGATATGCCTCCACTGCGGCCCGAATGTCATCTTGAGGAGTCGCCTTCCATCCTTTGGTCAAAGACTTCTTCAAAGAATCCAAACTTGTGTGTTTTCGAGAGCAGACATTAGCCTCTAAGATTGCCCAAATGGAAAAGTCCATCACATTGAGATCCGGTGAGTTTGGAGGCCATTCATCCTTGGTGATCACTGAGGGAAAGTTGGCCACACACCAGTCCTGAACCGTCTTCTTCGTGTGTGCGGGAGGCAATTAGGCAAGAATAAAGAAGATAGAACGCAACACAACAAAAAAAGGGGACAAAAACAATAAGAAAGCTGTTTGGAAAACGGTCTTTTGAACTCTTGTTGCAATAATTATGACGTACCCTGTATGGTTTTGCACCTGGTGAATTTTCGTTTTTTGGCTGTTACATTTTCCCTATTCATGCTATGTCGACGATTTTTGGGGTTTAAGAGTTATTTTTGGTCCTGAATCTAACTACGTTTTCAGTTTTTTTGTCACTGGCACGGGAGCCGCAGAAAATTGAAATTTAGGTGGTGGCGTATGGTTGTGCACCGCACTGTAGTAGTGCACCTTTTAAGCCCTAAATGTAGGAAAGAAAAAACTTTTAATATAGTCAAGTTTATCAAAAAATCTGGGAAGAGATGGCTTGGCTTTCGAGAAATCGCCGTGTAAACTTTTTCTGAGAACTTTCTTGCCAACCTAATTCAAGAATTACCTTCCAGCCACTAAGCTTCAAGAGCTTCTACTTTACGAAAAAACTTCATTTTAGGCCATTACAGGCCACAAACGGTCATTTTAGGCTTTCGATTGTAGGCCAACATGACCTCTAGTATTTTCTAATGTTTGAGCCCTTTACTGGTTTGGTTTCATGAGTTTCTCGCTGCCCCTACGGACCGAAATCCTTGGGATGAATCCAAAAATTCACAGCGCCCCCCTTCAGCACCCTTTTACAGGCACTTGGGATCCCATTTCGACCGACAGAGAACCCGCCATAATGGTCAAAATGAGCCGGAACTGGGTTCACCAGTTCTACAGCCGAGGTTAGTTTTGGGAAGCGGTGACCACATGGGGCAGACAACGGATTGGTTACCGGATGACCCAAAATGGACGCTTCCGATTTGAGACGTGAAAAGGGAACTATAACTGGAAACATAGGATGCCAGAACGAGCGCGATTGTGATCGCGCACCGAGAACACACATCTGTCTTCTGTTTTGCATTTTAAAGTTCAAAAACTTCAAATTGAACAGAAAAATTGTATCCGGGGTTTTTAAAAAATTTTTTGTATTATCTTCTTGGCACTGAGTGTTTGCTAAAATAGGTGATTCTGGAAGGTTAAAGCATTAGATTAAATTTGACTTTATCACAAATTTTCCCTATTTTATATACTTGATTTTACGTTTTGAATGAGAGCCATTGCCTATTCATTAATCCATTAAAACTTATCTAAAGGCTGGTCACTCAAAAAGGGACCAAGTCACTTAGCTGAAGTCTCTTAGCTCTTACTTAGCCTGAAGCCCACTCTGATTCTTTTGTCAAAAACTTTGTAATATAGTCAAGTTTATCAAAAAATCTGGGAAGAATTGATGGCTTGGTTTTTGAGAAATCACCGTGCAAACTTTTTCCCAGAACTTTCTTGCCAACCTAATAGCTTTAACTTTAATCTATCAGTGCTAGATCCCAAAACTTGTAGGCCAAATATCTCGCGACAGAGAAGCGTTTGGCAAAAACTGATTGCAGATTCGGAATCAGAGTGAAAAACAGCATCTGATAGGTTATTTCCCGAGTCAAAACCACGATAAGTTAACAACATTTCCTATTCCTAGTGAATGTTTGCTAAAATAGGTGATTCTGAAAGGTTAAAGCATTAGAAAAGCATTAGATATTGCCTCCATCACAAATTTTTCCTATTTTAAGTACTTGATTTTAGGTTTTGAATGGGATCCATTGCCTATTCATTAATCCATTAAAAACTTATCTAAAGGCTGGTCACTCAAAAGTGACCAAGTCACTTAGCTGAAGTCTATTAGCTCTTAGCTCTTAGCTCTTAGCAGCTCTTAGCTCTTATTTTACCTGAAGCCAACTCCGATTGTTTTCTCAAAAACTTTGTAATATAGTCAAGTTTATCAAAAATTCTGGGAAGAATTGATGGCTGGGTTTTTGAGAAATCACCGTGCAAACTTTTTCCCAGAACTTTCTTGCCAACCTAATAGTTGACAACCTAATTGCTCAATCTCAAGCAATGCTAAAAGCCATCTTTTTCTAATAACTACCGTAATCAAGCTGTCATTTTAGGTTCGATTAGCGCAATTTCGATGAACCCAATTTTGTTTCAATGAGAAAGCGCAAAGCTCATTCGATAACACCAAAATTGAGCTAATCAAACAAAAACTGGTAACTTGATGACGGTAGTTCTCTAAATTAGATGCTTTTTAGCAAATACATTAGACAAAAGAAGGTCTAGGCACTGTTTAGAGTACATTAGACTGTCTAGGCACAAGTAACGGTTCAGCTCTACAAATCCTGCACACAAAAAACAGTAACCACCTTTCCAATTCGATGCATTCGTTCTCATTTCTCCAATCACATAACCACCCTCTTCCACAAAAATCAGAAAACGATTGAGAGCAAAGATGATATCCGCCATATTGTCAGGGGTTATATACAAAATATGAAAAGACACACCAGAGCATTCCAGGATTTCGGCTGCTTTCTGAAATTGATCTAGTGAGGTAAGGTAAGAAGAGAATACCCTCAAATCCTCAAATTCCGTTATAATCTTCAGCTAATCGAAAGTGAGCTCCTCTTACTGTGAAAACTCTAACCGTACACCCATTTAAGAATCATATACCCATTTAAGAACCATATATCCATTTAAGCCACGACCCTTTTTGAAAATGAACATCAAAATCGGAATCCCCATAGGCGAAAGACCCCGAGGGCTAAGCCTCGGCCCCGGAATTTGCCGATGACACCGCTAGATCGCGCCCCCGGGATTTGGAGCGTCACGGACAGACGGACGGACAGACATTCTGTTTTATATATAGTAGACTCTTATATTCCTATCGATCTGGTACTAATAGTCGATTATAGTCGATATCTTGTAGTCGATATCTATCTTGTAGAGAGTGTTCGTCTCAAGAAATGAAATAGGAAACGGAAGGTCGAAATCAAATGAATATCTTAAATATCTTCTACAATTTGTAAGACATTCAGTTTATTTTCAATGCACTCGTTTCCTATTTTACATTATTTCTGGAGAAGAACACACTCTATTCGTTAAAATGTTTACGAAAATCTTTTCGTTAAAGATCTTGTTTCAGAGTCAATAGTGATTTGATCTGACGGCGCTAGATATTTGTTGATCTAGATCGTCCAGTTTTATATTGGGTTGTCCAGTTATGAATGCGCGTTTTTACTATTTTGCAAATTTCTCAAGATACCGAACAGATGTAGATGAGTGCTATATATCATTCGAAAGCTGAAGATCTCCTCTACATTTTGGAATAAAAAAAGTTTTTGAATTCATTCAACTTTTTGGGAAATCGACTGCTCAAAGGGAGAGGTTGTTTTCGAAAAAACCCATTCCAGCTTAGCTATTCCTCAAGTTTTATGGTGTAAAATAACCGCCCAGAAAAGAAAAGAAAAGTAAAGATGCTCTGAAATTGTTATACTTTTAAAAAAGTTGTATTGATATATCTATTGGCTAAACATCAAACGGCTAACTCCAATTTGAGCGGAGCCAAAACTTGATCCAAAGGCACCCTTCCATTTTTGGCCACCTCTTCTTCCTGTGCAGTCAATTTGCCCAAAAGCTGGACAAATTCAAAAACTTTTTTATATCAAAATATAGAGGAGATCTTCAGCTTTCGAATAATACTCTCATATATATCTTTTCTTGATTTCGGTATCTTGAGAAATTTACTGAGAAAATAGTAAAAACGCGCATTCATAACTGGACAACCCAATAGTAACAAGTCACGTTCGATAGTAGCTTTTCTAAACAAAAATGTAACAATGAACCATAAACTTTTCGTAGAAACCTACATCAAATGGCAGCCTCATCGGAAAAACATTGTCGGGCGAAGCTCGTAGCGTTTGGAGATTCAATTCAAATAATCTGGATAGAGACTAAACTTTTTAGATAATCGTAAAATATGATATGAAAACAAAACAATCAAAATAAACAAAAGACAAAAATATCAAAACAAACTCTTCGATATCGGCCCGTTCCCAGCTTCCATTTTCATCCTTTACATAAGTGGGTGTCATCCAAGTTGAGATTGGGATCAAGTGAATAGATTTGTCCTTCACAAAACTCTAAAAGCTTTAGGATTTGGCATTTGTCTGGTAAAATTGCCTGGTCAAACACAGCCTGGTAACATTTCCTTGATCTATTGTTATAAAACTTGCAGTGATGAACCTGATAGTATTGGTAAAAATGAGCCGAAACTGGGTTGACCAGTTCCGGCTCATTTTGGCTCCCCTGCTCATTTGATAACTATTGTAACTTTAGGGATTACTACAGCAACTTTGCTGTAGAAATCGGTGTTACAATAGTTGTGAGTTCAGATTTAATATATAAAGTTGGATACCTTTGTGTTTTAATAATCGAAATAGAGCTTCGAGAATCCCAAGCGCCAATCTGGAGGACTCCACCGTTGAGGGCCACTTGGTTACCCACCTAGAATACACTGGTGGGAGTTTTGCAAATGCTGAAAGTTAAACACAGTGTCAGTGCTAGACTTAATCCTACTGTAACAACTTTTAAACTACTGCAACAAACTTGAAAACTTGAAACTCTACATCTTTCAATTTTGTCGGCAAAATCGATATGCTCCTGGTCTTCGCAATGCCTAAACTGAGTGATTTCTGGGCAAGATTTTTGAAGTAGTTTTTCTTTGTTTATGTAAGAAAGAGCTGAAATGAAATCTCTGCCAAGAACTCAGCATTGTGTCCAAAGTGTTGGGAATCTAAAAATATCTATTTGGTAAAGGTAGAACAAAGATTAGAGAAAGGTAGAATAAGGGATTATTCTAATCCTTTATCTCTACCTTTTTTAGTTGAATCAATGCTGAGATTTAGTTGACTCAATGCCAAGATTTAGCTGAATCAATGCTTACTTTAAGTAGGAGCATGGAGAATCTGGCGAAGATTCGAGACTCTGCGATACTCCGGAAAAGGCGAACCTTCTTGCATGGTCAATAAACAAAAGTTTTGATGCTAGAGATCTAATTGAACGATTTTAAAAATACCTACTTCTAAAACATCGTTGATAGTATTGTCGTGAATATTTGAATAGTGCCCCACCCCAAAATGACGGTGTGCGGAGTGTTGTGTAGTTCAGCTTTGGACGAGTTTTTCTCGACACTGGTTTATGTTACAATGCGCGCTTAGGTATAAAAATAGCCCTGAATTTCAGCTGATTTTTTTATAATTAAAGATGCATTTTTTTGAAAGTACGGGAAGCGCTTTGGAAAAATGAAATACTTTAAAAAGCTTTTATGACTACGCGACTGGACGAGGGGGGTGGGGTGCTATTACAGTATTTCATGGTAGATTCTCCGAAAATAATCTGTTTTGAGATCAATTATTTCGAGCCTTTGTCTCTGAGTTTTCACGACAAATTCCTGTAGAATTTAACGAAAAATTGTTTATAGCTTCTTCTTTGCAATGCCGTAAAATTTTGTTTATCAAACAATGATTAACTTTAGGTGATCGGCATAAGAAGAATGGAATAAATGACAAATTGGACGATTTTTTTGTATGAGCTCAAGCTTGGACATAATGCAACGGTTGTAATTGAAAAGCACCAACGTGCATTTGGTCATGAGGCTACTTCGGCTAGAACAGCTCAAATTTGCGTCTAAACGATTCCGGGAAGGGGACGGGGACCTTGATGACAAGGAGCCGTTCTGGCGACGCGCCACGTTCAATCAATAATGGAAATGATGATGATGATTCAATGATTTCAACCAAAATGACCACTTGAAGGATATCAAAAAGGTTAAAAAACTGGAGAAGTGGATACCTCATCAATTGGATGACCGCCGGAAGCTGACACGCTTTCTTGCTGCTTCTTCATTGAAATTCAAAGTAATAGAGATCCATTTTTTAGATCGGTTGAGCACGTGGAATGAAAAGTGAATGCTATATGACAATCGAAAACGAAATTGTGAGTGGCTAGACAAAGCAGAAGCACTTCGATTTGTCCGGAGTTCGATCTTCATCCAAAAATGATGATATTCGTTGGCTATCGTTAAGTTGGCTGGCTATTCGTGGGCAAAAGGTATTGATTCCAACAGTTGTTATTTTGATTAATTTGATTGTTGTTTAATTAAAATTTTTGCAATTGAAAATCACGGAGAACCACGCAGTTATTTTCCAGAGTACGTATTGGATAATAGTTTTCTATCAGTCAGCCTTTCGGTTGAGTTCTCAGCCCAATTTTGAGGGTATTTTTATAAGTTTAATATATCAAAAGACAGCTTCCTACTGTCTTCTTTATCTTTTATATTTTAAACATAAAATATCTCCAAATGAGCTGGAGAACAAAGCGTCCAAAGTTGGTCAAGGGGGCGTTTATTAGAGGAAATACGGTAGCAACATTTCTTTTATTGGTTATGTTACAGCTGACTGGTTTGTTCCTGTATCCTAGTTTGGGAGGTCAAAGGTTCAAACCCACCAGCTAGATTATTGGTTCTTTCCCCATCTATATGGATTTCTTTCCTTAAATTAAGCTTAAGGGTTGTGCTTTTGTGCCACATGTTTTATGTGAATAAATGTATTTTATAGTTTATTTGGGCCAACATTCAAGTGGGAAGGTGAGGTGGCAATCAAAATGAGAGTCGTTCTGGATAGCTTACTTAAACAATTTATTAAATTTCTAAACTCGTTAGTAAAACAATTTATAAATAACTAATCAACAAATCAGAACTTGCTAGCAAGACTGAATTCTCCTAGCATTCTAGCATTCTAGGATTCAAAGGCACTTATGCTGCTCAAGTACTAGTTAAGGGCAGTTTTCTCACAATGAATCTAACGTTCTATTAAAGTTTCTATTAAAGTAGTTTTGGTAGTTCTAAGTAGTAGTTCCGTTTCTCAAGTTTTACCAGCTGTAACAATCAATCCAATTTACCTCAAGATAAACATAGACAATCAAAAATGTACAAATCGACGATGAGGGTGATGATGAAGCCGATTTTGAGAGAATTTACGAATGGCTCCATTGCTAAGAGATCACCTTATAATAAACTAGTATCAAATAAAGATGATGGGGATAATAAATTTTGTTTATATACCCAAAATCAATTGGTGCTCTTGAGTGACAGGAAAGCGACGCGTAAGGGGGAGAAAACCCCAACGAGAATCAAGCGGAAACCAAAAAAGGCCAAAATCAGAGATAGAGAAGAGATGGGGATAAAGATATGGAGCACAAGAGAATGGATACCGGGATGCAAGAATAGTTGTGATTAGAGTAATAGATGCAATGAAGACTGGTCGACGATCAACCCCTCGTCGATTTTTTTGCTGTGAGGTGAATGAGCGCACATCGTACCCCCAGCTTTGCATTTTGCTCGCCGTGTTTGGCTTCCGTGTCCTACTGAACTAGTCAATATGGTTTTTGCAAACGATTTAGATATTGCACCTCAGCATGATAATCGAGGACTATAAGTAGGTGACTTAATGTCAGGCAATCCCTAGCGGTGACTTGTTCTTTCTTCAACAATCCTTCAAAAATCACAATGTGGAGTACTTCTGTAGTTAGGGATCGTAAACTATTACAAAGGAATTGTGAAGAAAGTGCTCCAACCGTAGCATATGACAATAGCCCTCAGTTTTCAATTCACTCAAACCCATGATACCAAATAGTTACCAAATAGTTACCAACAGGTATCAAATAGCAGTATCAAATAGGTAATGTAAATAGATATCAAACTGGTATCTAATAGTCACCAAATAGTTCTAATAGTTACCAATTTGTGTGCGTGAGACGCGGCTCAAAATGGAGGACTGGAGTTGTCATGTCAGCCCAGCTTCTGAGCACTTTCTTCAAAAGAAACCCATTTTGGGGTCAATGGAAAAGTTAGAGAATAAAAAATTAGGCTTATAGCCAAAATTCTTCAACATGCAAAACTGGTTTTCAAGAAATGCCAAATTTATGAATTTTCACAAAGCTTGCAACAAACTTGCATTTTAAGCGAAACTACTAAGTGTATCTTTGGGAAATTTGTCGATAAGCCTAATTTTTGATTCTCTACAACTTTTCTATGGACACCAAAATGGGTTTCTTTTGAAGAAAGTGCTCAAACTGGGCTGACAGCTGACATCTCCAGTCTTCCATTTTTGAGTCTCATAATTTGTCTCACACAAACCAAGATCCTACAAAGAAAGAGGAATCTGCAAATTGCCTGTAAAATGGGCAGAAGTCGTCAATAATACGGGAATTATTTGGAATGAATTCATGCTTCGATGATGAATAAATTTTAGTTCAAAGTCCCGCCGTTTTCAATTCACCAACCCTAATAAATAAATCAAAGCGCATTCTGGAATAGGGAGCTTCATTCTTTTGCAATGGATATTCTTGTTTTAGCCTCAAAACTACTCTACAGTAGTCCCCTCACTTGCTCTTCTCCTCAGCAACTTTGGAATCCGGCTACTGACCAAAAACTGGATAGCTGTGGATTCGATGCTAACTCTGATAGCTGGCTTAATACAGTAGCTTGGCTTGATTATAGCTGACTTAGATGCAGTAGCTGGCTTGTAGGATCTCGGTAGTAACTTATATGAGTACAGTAGCAATTGTAATC